CGAACTGTAAAGTTATAAATAAATATATTTATATAAATTCGAACCGCTCGTTTTATTAAACTCGCTACAGTTGGTGTCCGGTGTGAGATTTAAAATAAATTCAGCAGTGACTTTTGAAAAAGACGTTTGAACTTTTGGAAAGTATTGTTCGTCGGGAACATCCGCGTAGTTCGGTATTGATCGTTGTACGAAAGGACATTTAAAAAAGTACGTGTGTGCCTGACCAAAGATGCTGCTAGTGGAGCTTTCAGTAAAACAGTTGCGTGAGCAACTAGAAGAACGCGATGAAGACTGCAGCGGGTCCAAGAAGATACTCCAAGTACCACTAAATACTGTTCTTAACAAGAATGGAGACGACCCAGAGACATTCCAGTTCCAGTCAGCAAAAGAAGCAGTTTTAACAAAAATAAAAAATGTGTCGTAAATGATTGAAGAATCTTCGAGAAAAAATAATAGTAAATTTGAAAACCTCTCGCAAATGATTGAGGAAAGTTCTAAAAAAATGATGAAAGATTCGATGAAGCTTCTCAAATTATTAAAGAAACAGCTAGACAAAACGACGAGAAATTTGAAAATATGTCTAGAAGATTTGACGAAGTATGTATTCAGAACAGTGAGAAGTTTGCAGTGTTCTAAAACATTCGATAAAGTAGAAGAGAAAATTAAACAGTCAAAGAGCATGATAACCAATACAAAAGTGCTACCACCAGTTAATACAGTAGCCTTAGATCCGGTAGTAAAAGAAGAATCACCGAGAGACGAAACGACACATCATATGCGATTTAAATTGCCACCACTTGATGGAAAGTCCTCTTTAGGACTTTCCATCAAAGCAAAAGTCTAAAAGTCTGTCTACAAGAGATCAATTTAAAACCCCAACAGAAATACAATCCTAAACAATACATATGCTTCCGTAAAAACAGAATGCTTGTTAACCATGCTAGTGGTGTTATGACATTAGTAAAAAAATCTTTCAATGCAAATTTATTTCCCGTTGTAAGCAATTTAGAAGCCATAGTCATCAAAATTAATTTCTCAATCTCATTTTATCTATGTAATATCTACATTCCTCCCAATTCACAGGTAAATTATACAGATCTTCTGCACCTTATACACAAAATTCCAACACCACGTATAGTCGTCGGTGACTTTAATGGACACAATATAATATAGGGATCTTCTAACACAAATACGATGGGAAGAATAATAGAAAACCTAATACATAACGTTAATTTAAATTTTCTTAATGATGGAACCACCACTAGGTTCAACTCAGCATCAGGAGAATCCTCGACAATTGATCTAAGTCTCTGTGATCCAATTTTAACTCCTTGCTTATCCTGGGAAGTGTTGTCGTTCACCTACGGCAGCGACCATTACCTCATAAAAATCTGCAATAACAACACCATACCCAAACCAAAAGACACCCTTGTCTTAAAATGGAAAACAGAAAAGGCTGATTGGGTGAGCTTTTCAACATATGTTGATATTTTCGTAGAGAGCTGTGAAATAAATTACTGTGATATCGATACAACAAACCGATTTTATTGATTTAATACTAAAAAGTGCAGAACTCTACATTCAAAAAACAAAAAAAAATTCACAATCATTATCCAGTACCATGGCGGAACAAGGATTGCGAAGAAGCAATACGACAAAGTAAAAAAGCTTTAAATAGGTTTAAACGGCACAAAACCCAAAAAAGTAAAGTAGAATTCAAACGGTAAAAAGCTAGAGCCCAATCAATTACAAAAAATTCAAAAAAAACCTCATGGTCAAAATACGTCTCAGAAATAAACAGTTCTACTCCAATGAGCGAAGTTAAAAGGGTAAAGAAAATTTCCGGTTTAAAGTATTCTTCATCAATTAGCACTCTTAAAATAGACCTCTTCTTCACAAGACATTGCTAAAACTCTTTCTTTTACCTTCGAACAACATTCCTCTAGCGAAACTTACGACAATAATTTTAGGTACTACAAGCTAAAGAAAGAACTCACCATCTTGTCTCTAGAAGAATCCCACGAAAACCCCCTATCTCAACCTCTTACTATTACAGAACTAAATAACTCCTTACAAGATACGAAAAACTCAAGTTCAGGACCCGACAATATCCCTGTTGTATTCCTAAAGCAACATTTACTGCAAATTTTCAATCAAATTTGCCAGCAATGACAATATCCGTCTATATTGGCAAAAGCCACAATTTTGCCGTTTTTAAAATCTAGAAAGCCTCGACTTGATCCAGAATCATACCGACCCATCTCTCTAACATGTGTCATGGCATCAAATTAATGGATAAAATAGTCAATGCTCGGCTTATGTGGAAACTGGAAAAATCTAGTTTCTTCTTACCAGAGCAAAACGGCTTCAGACGTAACCGGTCAGCAATTGACAATATCGTAGACTTACAAAGTGGTATCCAAGAAGCGTTAGCAATAAATCAAATGTGCATAGCTATTTTCGTCGATCTAAAGAAAGCCTTCAATACATGTTGGAGATTTAACGTTATTAAAAATTGCACGCATCCAATTTTAGAGGACACTGCTTAGCATATATCGAAAATTTCTTAAAATACTTTTCTTTCCAAGTAAGAGTTAATAACGTTTATTCCGATTTTTATACTGCAGAAAACGGTACCCCACAAGGCTCAGTACTTAGTCCTACCCTATTTCTAGTTGCCATAAACAACATATTAAACAAATTACATAAACCTCTAAGAGCTCGCCTCTATGCCGACGATTTAGTGGTGTATATTAAGGGAGCATAAAAAGAATCTATGTACAGAATAGTACAGACATTTTTAAACCAACTAGATGAATAAACGGCTAGTACAGGCTTCAAATTCTCCGCTACAAAGACAACTGGTATGGTGTTTATAAAAAAATCATCCATTACACCAGTTCTTTATCTTCACAGTAACATCATTCCCTTCCAAAACTTCGTGAAATTCCTTGTTATGTGGCTGGATCAAAAACTTTTAACACTTGGCGCTAACATGCAACAAAAGACTCAATTTGCTTAAAACCGTATCAAATCGTTTCTGGGGTTCCGACTTCTCTACACTACTCCTTCTGTATAAAACATTAATTAGATCCAAATTAGATTATGGTTCAATTGTTTATGCCTCCGCAACCAAAAGTACCCTAAAACCGTTAGATACAATCCACAATGCCGCACTTCGGATCGTTCTCGGAGCTTTTCACACTTCACCCATAGAAAGCTTATATTCTGAAACTGGAGAACCATCATTGCAGTATAGGCGGGCACTTTTAACACTTTCACACACTTCTTCTGTAGCTGCTACTAAGGATCATCCACTCTTCGAAAATACTTTTTCTAAAAATAATCTTGACTTTCTCTTTAACAAACCTCGTACTGGAAAACCAACATCCTACTCCATGGTTAATAAGCATCCCAAATTGCAACACCTCTCTAATAGAGTTCTCCAAAAAATACAAAAATAACATACTAATTAAAAAGAAACTAAACGAGATTCTTGAACGAAACTACCTTAACTGCACAAATATCTTTACCGATGCCTTTAAGTCTAATGATGGCATTGTTTTTGCATTTGTTACTCCAACGTGTACTTTCAAATTTAAACTACCGCCTAGCTCAAGTGTTTTCACTGCTGAATTGTTTGTTCTGCTCAATTGTATCTGTACCGTGCCATAAAACATGCAAACCTCTCAAGAATTTCAAAACCTCTTTTTCTCACCGACTCGCTCAGCTCTCTTCTTGCAATACAGCATCTGTATCCTAAACAGCCCCTGAAGAAACTAATAAAAACTGAACTACAAATCGCCCAAGAGAACCACATAACCCCTAAATTTATATGGATCCCATCGCAAATAGGAATTATCGGCAATGAAGAGGCAGACAGTAGTGCTCGTGATGCAGCAACAAGTGCGGAATCTGAATTAGTGCGTGAGAGTGTATGTAAAGATCTCAAAACGTTTTTTAAACAAACAGTGATTGGTCAGTGGCAGCGCGAATGGTTTCTATCGCAATCTAAATTAAGATGGCTAAAACCAGATACACGACAGTGAAAAACTAGTGCTAATACACGGTTTACTCAAATGGTTCTAACGCGCCTACGTGTAGGACACACTAAGATCACACACTCATATTTACTTTCGGCCAGTGAACGCCCCCTGTGCGACCTATGTGCTACGCCTCACACCGCCGTCCATTTGTTAATTGAGTGTCCAAAATACCATAGAGAACGTTTAATAAACAATATAGCAAATACTCTACCAGATTTATTAGAAGAAAAGTGTCACGTAAAAAACTTATTAAATTACCTAAGGTCAATCAATAGTTTGTATCAGATTTAAAGTTTTGTTTACTAAGTAACGCCGCTAATAACCTGTTGGTGGATGCGGCAATTAAAAAAAAATTAAAACAGAAGTAAACGAGTTTATTCTAATAGGAAACAGACCTTACTGTAAATATAACCACTTTCTTAAAGAGAAAAACTCAATAAAAACACTCAAAATACAAAACTGAAAATTTGCAGAGCAGCGATTTCACCAGTATTCACATATGGTGTTGAAACAATGTAGGTATTTGACAGAAAAAGAGAAATAATTTGGAAGTTAACTCGCGTGAGGACGATACAATAGACCCGTCTTAGGAGATCTAGTGTCTGAAGGGCTCAAAAATGGTCCCTGCCCCGATATACCATAACCATAGCCCTAACTCGCCTAATAAACCTGGGTAGCGGTGAATTTAGAAAATAAATTTAGAAAACCATAAAATAAGGGATCTTTAGAAAGAAGAACTCCCTGGCAGATCTACCTACGCACAAGATCAACAAGCCGTTACTAAATGGTGATAATTGATGATGCAAATGTGATTGTCATTACTACGCAAACTATTACCATAAATTACTATACCATAATAATCATAAATCTTCTATTTAATATTATTTTAATCTATTGAACTATATTTCGTCTTTTTTTATAGACTATTTTACTCTTATATACCGCTATAATTAGTTTGCCTTATCTGATAAAAACTCTTATTTTAATTATTTTTTTGCTTTTAGCTAAGATGTCATTAACTATAGACTGTGAATGGTATGAACCTTTAACGAATTCCATTGAAGATATTTACGCAGCTAGAAGAAATATTAATTTTGAAGTAAGAATATACAATACATACATTCTTTAAACAGATAACCCTGTTATGCACATGAAGTCTACAAGATCCTTTTTTATCTTTACCTTATACTTGGCATTCTCACACTATTTGAGCCTCTTACAATCCAGTTTTAGCCGAACCATCTGTGAAGCTAGCTCAGTGCAGCCTTTTTTTATAGATGACATACAGTTTACGAAATCATTCATATATCTTTATAATCTATTTCAGAATTAATACATTCGCATATTTTGAAATATTTTTTTTCTATACAGCATGTTCCCTTGTTAGTAACATGAAAATCTTTTATGATTACTCTTATTAATTTTTTGTGTAATATATATTTCCTACTTTATATTATTAACAAATTAAATGTTTTATTAGTTAAACTTGTCATCAAGGTATAAAACAAATGTCAAATAAGAATAACTCTATAGCCTTGAAAATTAGAACATGGAACGTAAGAAGTTTATACCAATCTAGCAAACTAGATAACACTGTGTCCAAAATGTGCAGAATAAAGATTGACATACTGGGGCTTAACCATATACGATGACCTGAATCAAGAAAATTTATTACCAGAAATGGAACAATGTAATTATTCTGGTAAAAACAACTCCCATCACAAGCAGGGAGTTGGCATTATAGTTGATAAGAATTCTCAAAAAGCTGTTTGTAAATTTGTTGAGTACTCTGATCGAGTATTGATGATGTCTCTCAACTCCCCTTTAAAACGTAAAATAAATATAATCCAGGTATATACACCTACTGCAGATAATGATGAAGATACCATAGAGAACTTCTATGAACAAATTAGCAATGTCAAAGCTGACAGAAAGACATGATATGAATATTATATTGGGAGATGAGATATAGTGGGCCCAGGAGAAGTGGAGAATTACTTGGAGCGATATGGACTCGGGGAGAGGAATTAACGTGGAGATCGGCTGGTTGATTTCTGTATTAATGAGGAAATCATAATTGCAAATATCTTGTTCAAACTTCATAAACGTAGATTATACATATGGAGGTCGCCAGCTGATAATAACTACAAAATAGTCACAAATGAAATAGATTATATTATCGTCAACAGAAGATATAGAAATTCTATAATATCAGTCAAAACTTATCCAGAAGCGGACACATTCTTCTTAAACAAGACAACACATATGCAGAAACGAAATTTAAAATTAACGAAAACTTGAGGAAAGTCAAAGAATATAATGCAGATACTCTACTATTGACAAAAAATGGGGATAAATTCAACATATCCTTGGAAAAGTAACCCTTATCTCACTTGGGAAAAAAACAGAATGACAGTAAAAATTCTTGAACTTATGGATGAACGAAAAAAAAAACAAATACATAGAGATACATAGAGAATTGTTAAAACTTTTGAATATAAAATAAGTGACACGCAATTTAGCTTTAGAAATGGCATGGGCACAAGAGTTGCTTTATTTGGCTTGAATGTGCTGACCCAGAGACGCATGGATATGAATCAGAACATGTCCTTATGTTTTGTAGATTTGAAAAAGCATTTGATAAGATTAAACATAAAAAGCTTGTAGAAATATTAAAAACCAAAAATATTTACAGTCGTGATATAAAAGTTATATCTAATCTACATTGAAATCAAACTGCCAAGGTAAGAGTTGACAACCAGAACGCCCGAGATATCAAAATAAAGAAAGGGGTCCGCTAGGGTTGCGTACTGTCGCCACTACTCCTCAGTCTCTACAGTGAAGCGGTATTTAAAGAAGCGCTCTCAGATTCAATAGAAGGTATATCTATCAATGGAGAACTTTTGAATTTCTAGCGTTTTGTAGACGATACAGTAATAATGAGACATAGTAACAATAATGTACATACCTAATGCAACGACTTAATGAATGCTGTCATGAATACGGACTAAGAATAAATTTGAAAAAAAAACTAAATGCAAGATCATGAATAAATTAGCAGATGCAAACATCCAACTGATTGTTGAGGACTGTAATTGAGAGTATGGATACCTACAAATACTTACTGACATGGATAACATCAAATATAGACCAAACCAATAAACATTAGAAAATTAAACAAATTTTGTTTTTTTTTTTAACAAAAGAACAAACCAATAAAATTAAGACAAGTATTGAAATAGCACGTGCATCATTCGTTAAACTTAAAAAGTTTCTTTGTTGTCAGGATATAAGGTTAGGACTCAGAATAATGCTTCGGTGTTTCGTATTCACTACCCTTCTTTATGGCTTGGAAGCTATTATAGACTCAAAGGATATTAAACACAGAAATTACTAGAAGAATAGAAATATAAATGAAGCCGAAATAATATTGACCATTAAGAGAAGAAAACTTGAGTACTTGAGCCATATTATGGGACAAAGATACTCATTATTGCAGCCTATTATGAAAGGCAAAATTCAAGAAAGGCGAAATATGGGAAGACGAAGAATACCGTGGCTTAAGAACTTGAGAGAATGGTGTGAATGTAATAGTACATAATTATTTAGAGCGGCAGTGAGGGTTCGCACAGCCATGATGATTTTCAACCTTCGATAGAAGATGGAACTTAAAGGAGAAGAACATTAGTTAAAAAATAATTACCAGTAGCTCTATTGTTTATCATATCGATTTTCCAAAATTTTTCTTCCTCTGCTATGACATGTTTTGTAACTTTTCACAATTGTTAGATGAAATTTTTGGTATAAAGTCATTAAATAGTTGACGAATAACATCAAGTTTAATGTGGTATTTCTCGTGACATATTCCTTAATTTGAATTTAGATTAGCTCCACGGGGTTAAATTTGCGTTGCTAAGGTTATAATTAGAGCCTGGATCATATGCTCTAAAAATAGTTAAAATATACATGCAACATGCACTTAAAAAGTAACCAAATACGATTTTATATGTTATATGCATTTATATTTATATTTGCATATATGTTATATGCAAAATATCCTCGTTCTTGTTGTTACAGTATATAATCATAAAATGTTCAATATTTTCAAGAGTAATGTTATGCCCTCTATCAGGTAATATGTATTTATAATTATCCTTCATTCGGGTTTAAAACTTCACTAAATTTATCTTTAATTTTTTTTCCAATTGTCCCTGAAAGGTTTACTATGATTTCTTTGACAGAATTAATAATGCAAAAACTATCATTTAAAGATAATTTTTGACTCTCTAGTTTTGTAATAAAGTTTACAATTATGTCAAAATTTTATTTTATATAGGACAATTCATTCTTAACAGAATTCTCACTAAAAATATTTTGACATTTCTGAACAGTAATACAAAACGAAGGATCAAAATTTGATATAACATTTTTGATATCAATATAATTATTTGCAAGAAATATGGCACTATTCAACCACGTCCCCCATCTAGTCAACATTGGTTCCGGTGGCAAAGGGATATCGGGAAGCATCTTCCTATATACTTCTACTCACAATGGTGCTTTTAAACATACTTTCTTGACATTGTTGATTAAAGTGTTTACATTTGGAAACTCGTGTCTAACTTCCTCTGCCAGCCTGTTTAAACGATGTGCTAAGCATGTATAATAAATCAAATCCGAAAAAAAAAATCTTAAGACCAGTAACAGCTTTAACCATGTAGGAAGTGGCATTGCTAACTAGTAGCAAAATGGTTTCAGAAGGTACTTGATTCGGTAAAAAGAAATTTGTCAAAGATTCGTTAATAAATCGAACAATTGTTACATAATTTATTTTCTCTAAACATTTTACGCTGATTAAATACGAATTGTTGCAGTTATCAGCTGAACTGTTTGAAACTCCAATAATTAAATTCGCGATTTGACGACCCTTGGCGTCAGTAGTCTCGTCGACAGATATCCACAAATATTGATCTCTTACTTAGCTTTTAATACCTTCAATAACGTCTTTGTAAGATGCCCCCACATATTTCTTGCGAAGAGTTGAAGAACTTGGTATCTGTACTGACTTATTTTCAACTTTATATGTTTTCAAAAAATTTTGACACACCTTGCTATCCAATTTATACAATGGGATTTTGCAACTTACAAAAAAATTGCATACATCTTTTGCAAACATTTCTTGCCCCGTCGATATGTGACGATTTTGAAAAATGTTGTTCTGCAGAAGCTGCTGGCGTGGTTTCTTGAAGTCCTTAGATAGTTTATATTGGTTGAGAGCCGTTTTCAGGTGTGGGGAAATTTGGAATTTTTTTTTCACATGGAATCTGTAATAAAACGGTTTAATAATAGGAGTCTAATGCAATAATATGGATTTATTCTTAAGATAACTTATATTTTTTTTCTCAAAACTAAAACTACCGCCAATAGTTAAACTGTTACATGTTTAGTACTTTGTTGTCTTCTTCAACATCTCCGTAACTAGTTATATCTATTCCCAGATATCTAAACCTTGCTTCCTGCTTTATTATCTTCACATCAATTTCAATTTTACATCGTTGTGAGTATTTAGATGTTGTCATACATTTGTTTTTTCTGCTGATATTATCATAATTGTATTTCTTGGCTGTTGTATTGAAGATGTGTGTTACTCTTTGAAGTTCGTGTTCTGTCTCGGCGATTAATGCGGCGTCGTCTGCATAACATAATATTTGGATTTATTTGTTCCTCATTCTGCAGCCATGACCTTTGCATACTGCTTGTATTATTTCGTCCATTACTAAATTAAAGAGAAGTGGGCTTAACGAGTCACCCTGCCTGACTCCGCTTTATACTGGTATACACTGTGTTAGTTTTCTATTTACCTTTGCCTGTATTCGATTATGGAAGTAGATGTTTTCGATGGTTTGTATAATATTGATTGGTATGATTCTTTTATACAGTAGGTGTAAGACGTCTTCGACTTGGATGCGATCGAAAACCTTTTTCAAGTCTATAAAACATAGATATGTATGCCGGTTTATTGTACTCGATGGCCTTTTCTGTGATCTGTCTTGGAATCTCTGAATCCTTGTTGTTCATCTGATAAAGTTGTTAGGACTTCTGTGGTAAGCTTAAGTGCGGTTTACAGTAGATTTATACCTCTATAATTGTTGGAGTATTCTTGATCTCCTTTCTTGAACATTGTTATCATTATGCTGTTTCTCCATGCGTTTGGTATCTTGCAGTGCAATATTAGTTTTTGTATAAGTTTTGTCATCTCTTGGGTAATACTTTCTCCTCCGTGTTTTAGAAGCTTGTTGGTTATTTATGGCTATTTCTACTTCCTGAAAATTGATTTCTATGTCGTGTATTAATTCAGGTACGTTATTGTGTTTATTATTTTACTTTGCTTTAACAGTTCCGTCAGGTATCTTTTCCATTCGTTTGCTGGTATGTTATTATATTCCTTCAATTCTGCCATTTGTTTTCGTTGGTTTCTTATGAATCTCCATATTTGTTTTTGTGTACCGTAGAAGTATCTTTCCATCCTATTAGTAAACTGTTTTCAGTGTTCATTTTTTGTTATTCTTACCAATTGCTTTGGTTCATTTTGTACTCTTTTATACTTGTACTTCGTGTACGCCTCTCGTTTCTTTTTACATTTCTCTTTTATTTTTTTTTTCTGAACCATGGTGTGTTGTTGTTTCTTTTGTTCGGTATAACTTTGCGTTTCCCTAGAGCTTCTGTTGCTGCTTCTTCAATGTTGTTTTTAATTTTCTCCCAGCTTGCGTTCATATCTTTGATGTCGTCTATTTGTTTTAGCTGTATCCTCTGTGCTAGCCTACTTTGGTACATTTCTCTTGTAGAGTCATTCCACAGTGATACTACATTGAATTTTTCCTTGGTAATTTCCTGTAGAAAATGTGTTGGTGTTATTTTCATACTTATCTTTGCTAGTACTAGTTTATGTTCACTCCCTGCTGAGTTTAAAGTTCGGATATCTAGAATTTGCTTTGGGTGGGGTTTTCTATTAGTGACTATAAAATCAATTATAGATTTATGTCCCTTGGAATTTTCAAATGTATATTTATACTAGAGCTTATGGTCGAAAAATGTATTATTGATTCTTAGTTTGTTAAAAGTACAGAGATTAGCCCTGAGTTCTCCATTTGCATTGACATGATTTTTATGAAATCTTTGTTTTACTTATGGAACTATTTCTTTTCCGATTCGTGCATTAAAGTCACCCATAAGAATTTTTTAGGAGTTAAGTAGTCTTATTAGAAACCGTTAAATAAATTATCTGCTAATTATTAAAAAAAATCTATTTTTAGTGTGGTTTATATTCTTATCCAGTATACGTTGGTGACTGGCCGCCAGACGTGAAAGAACGAGTCAAGTACAGAAGTCAACTAGAAGGATATAACCGAAGTCGACTACCAGAATTTACTCCAGAAGAAATCAATTACATAAAAGGAACTGCTGATTTGTACTTGCTGCATGTTTATTTTGCGTATTTAGCTGAAGATGCTCCCGAAGAACCAAACAATGTTACTAGCTTCCGGTCTGATATTAAAGCAAAACTAACCCAATTTCCTGGAACTAGCGTCGGAGCTAATGGATTTCCTGTAAGTTAAAAATGTTTTACTTTTTTAAGATTATATAATAAAAAATGTATACTAGTGCAATAATTTAATCTTCATGAATCTATCACACATTTTTTTTGTTACGTTCTGGTAGCCGTCTACTGTATACCGCGCTCGTCGTACTGCAATTAATTGGATTATTACATACGGCTTGTTAATTGCTATAGCTCTCGGAACTTATGCAGATCTGCTATATAATATAAATCTACCTCTCTACCTATGGTTGATAGACCTTTTATTTGGCTTTGGTATTTCTAAGGCTCATGAATCAAGGTGACATCGAACCTTCTCATAGCAACAGTAATAGCACCAGACAAGTTAGTGTCAAAAAAATAGTAAAATATCGAATAAGCGTTTGTAACGAATACACAAGTAGCATTTTTGCAAAATTAACCTGGTACAAGAGTTAGGTGACCACAGGCTACAATCTTAATGATAGATAATGAATAGATGCCAAGTAGATGTGCATTTGGTACATAGTGCATTTTTTTGGGTGATAAGCGTCTCGACGTTGAACATTCCAAATCAATTTAATCTATGGACCCTCATTATGGCATTAATAAAATCTACTCCTTTATACATAATTACGGATTGGTTACGGCTGTCGCCGGTTCTCCGCCCCAATTTCCATCATTTTCTGTCATATGCAGTGGCCTCTTCTATATAGAGATTAAAAATCAAATACGGACAGACAATGCAACAAACTATTATTTAAATTGTATGATTAAGAAGACAAACGGTATTATAAATAATGCTTAAATTATATCAATGTCAGATCTTTTATTAATACAATTTGATTTTTTATCCAAACCAGTTCTTTAATTTCTGTTTTAGGTAAATTAATTTCTTTTTCCAAAATGTTTACTTCTTCAAAAAATGAAAACATGATCCTCATTGATTACATGCTCTGCCAAAGCACAAGATTTGAAATAGCTCTTGATATCATTTTTATGAGAATTAAATTTAAGAAATAGGTTACGTGAGGTCTGACCGACGTAACATTTACCACACGTACTACACGGTATGGAGTAAATAACATTAGAGCTTTCCATAATTTGATTTAATTGTTTAAGCAAAATATAGCAATTAGGATTGCCACTAAAAATATTAAAACCTTGAACAGTCTTTACACCAAAACAAAGATTCTACTGCAGACTATTCTCCGTAGGTCCAGAAGGCAGCGAAGAGTGTGGCTGCAATGGAGAGATTGATGGCGATAGAGGCGACAGAGTTACCGACCTACAAAGGGATTCATGATACGAGTAGACAGAACAAGTCTATTGCGAGTAGCATGCGCCTACAGGACTGTATCTGCGGCGGCCTTGTGAACTATAACGGGTTGTGTTTCTCTGCATGTGTTAGCAGTAGAAAGGAGACGTCTATATGAGAGAAGAGAATATTTGACAGCAGCTATAAAAAAAAGAAAGAGAAAGATCAATAAAAATATGGCAAGAAGAGTTAAACAACACGGAAGATGTTGCTCATTGGACAAGATGCTGATCCCGAGCTTAAGTGATTGGGTGAACTGTGGTCACAGGCGACTGGACAGCTTTCTGACGCAAGTGCTCACAGAACATGGGTGTTTTAGGACATATCTTTATAAATTCAGAAAGACATATACAGTTAATGGCCTATGCTATAAATATTCCAAAAATGATAACTCACATAATGCTGTAGTGTAATAGATCGACAGTGGAAAGAAACAGAATATGTAGAGAAATAGGTATAAACCCTGTAACTGAAAGAGAGATGATAGAGAAGATGACGGGAAGTAAGGAGGGATGAAATATTGTACATAGTTACATTCGAACAGTAATTAAAAAGCAAGAAGAAGAAGAGAAAAACCAGCCGGAGCAACGACAGAGATAAGATATAGATAAGAGAAGGTAGTGCTTCGAAATGTCTGCAGCCTTACAGCGGTTATCCCACTTTCAAAGTACGGTACGTCCAACAGTAACTGCGCACAAGTAGGAGAGGGTGGTTTTAGTTCGTAGGCAGGATAACTGGAAGGCATCTGTTTGCAGGACCTCCTTTTTATAAGGGGAAATGGGCTCGGATATATTCCTCTACCCTCAATCCAACACACTCCAGCCATCCCTAGAGATTGGTTAACCTGTACGGTCTATAGAAATTTCCACCCTCAGAAAAAAAAAGGTCCAATGTAGCAGCCTTAACGTCGTCCGTCGGTCACCTTTATCTCTTTTGTCACTTGTCCAATCTTTATTGAATTCGTCATATCGTCGTACAACTCCCCCATAGCGTTAATGTAAATCGGTGGAATTTTTTTGTCTTCTAGCACCTGTCATAGTTTGGATAATAGGAAACTATTATACCTTTTGAAGATCAATAAATACCAGTTTGAGTGAATCATCATCATTTAACCCGGATCTATCCACTGCTGGATGTAGGTCTCCCTCAGTCTTTTCCATGTATTTCTGTTTTGTGCTGTTTGCATCCAATTTTTGTCGATCCGTTTTATGTCATCAGACCATCTTGGTGGTGGACGACTTCTACTTCGATGTTCTTCTTGTCTCGGTCTCCACTGTATTATTCGCTGTGTCCATCTGTTATCCGACATTCTAGCTATGTGCCCCGCCCAGTTCCACTTAAGGGTCATAATTCTTTCTATGGCATCTTTCACTCCTGTTCTCCATCTTATTTCCTTGTTCGTGATCCGATCCCCATGAGAAATGCCTAACATCGATCGTTTCATGGCTCTTTGGGTAACACAAATTTTATTTCTTACTTTCTTGGTTAATGTTAATGTCTCTACACCATATGTAAGTACTGGCAACACGCACTGATTAAAGACTTTTCTTTTAAGACACATAGGCAGTTCTGATTTAAGAACATAGCTCAGCTTGCCGAATGCCACCCAAGTGAGTCCTATGCGGCGGCTTAGTGAGCGAATAACGATCAACTTATCATTCTGGCGATCATTTTCGATCTTGGTCTGGTCTTGATCTAGGTAAATCTCTGACAGTCCCAATTGCATCAAATTTTTTTCGCACAAGAGTTTTTTCGTAAGTTACAGTCACTTTTGTGTTGAGTGACACGTTGTTTAAGCCACTGTTGACTTTGTCCAATATAACAACTTTGACATTGACTGCAATTTATTCTATAAATTATATTACTCATTGTAATATAATTTATATAACACAAAAGTGACTGTAACTTACGAAAAAACTCTTGTGCCTTAGTAGACCACCACTTAAAGACAGGACATAACTTTGACTTTAATAATGTAAAAATATTAGAACAAATTGATAATTATAAAAATCGACTTTTCCTTGAAATGGTACACATTAATAAAACTCCAGAATCTATCAATTATAAGACAGACACCAACCATTTAAGTAATATCTACTGTAATATACTAAACAATATATAATATGATAGATCTTCATATCAGTATCTAACAACATCAGACCAATAACTGACTACGTACCATCAATTACATTTTATAGATCAATTTAACATGTTCCTGATTCTTTCTCAATATTCTACTTTTGCACCTTATTATATGGATAATACTGTCACAATATGTAATTGTTTATTAAAACTTATTCGCTAGTGTTTCAAATCTTATTGTAGTCACAGGGAATTCGGACAGGTGTGATAATAAAACCTTGCTATTGGTATATTCCATAAGTCGCAACGATATAGAGACTTACATCAGGAAGAAAAACTGTAAATTTATATTATAAATTATTATAAGTTAAAACAAAATGAATATTTCAATACTTGACAACATACGATTAAAAATTTTTAAATTTTAATAACATATCCAAATTAGATAAATGACATTTTTTTTATTTTAATTTATTTGGGAGTTATGGTAACCGCAATATTTTATAGAGTGAATTCCCATTGTACAATTTTAGCGAATAAGTTTAAATAAACAATTACATATTGTGACAGTATTATCCATATAATAAGGTGCAAAAGTAGAATATTGAGAAAGAATCAGGAAACATGTTAAATTGATCTATAAAATGTAATTGATGGTACGTAGTCAGTTATTGGTCGGATGTTGTTAGATACTGATATGAAGATCTATCATATTATATATTGTTTAGTATAATTACAGTAGATATTACTTAAATGGTTGGTGTCTGTCTTATAATTGATAGATTCTGGAGTTTTATTAATGTGTACCATTTCAAGGAAAAGTCGATTTTTATAATTATCAATTTGTTCTAATATTTTTACATTATTAAAGTCAAAGTTATGTCCTGTCTTTAAGTGTGGGTCTACTTAAGAGCACAAGAGTGTTGTTCGTAAGTACAGTCACTTTTGTGTTGAGTGACACGTGTTTAAGCCAACTGTTGACTTTGACATTTGACCAATGATTCTTATAAATAAGTAACCATTGTAATATAATTAATATAACACAAAAGTGACTGTAACTTACGAAAAAACTCTTGTGCCTTAGTAGACCACCACTTAAAGACAGGACATAACTTTGACTTTAATAATGTAAAAATATTAGAACAAATTGATAATTATAAAAATCGACTTTTCCTTGAAATGGTACACATTAATAAAACTCCAGAATCTATCAATTATAAGACAGACACCAACCATTTAAGTAATATCTACTGTAATATACTAAACAATATATAATATGATAGATCTTCATATCAGTATCTAACAACATCAGACCAATAACTGACTACGTACCATCAATTACATTTTATAGATCAATTTAACATGTTCCTGATTCTTTCTCAATATTCTACTTTTGCACCTTATTATATGGATAATACTGTCACAATATGTAATTGTTTATTAAAACTTATTCGCTAAAAATTGTACAATGGGAATTCACTCTATAAAATATTGCGGTTACCATAACTCCCAAATAAATTAAATAAAAAAAAATGTCATTTATCTAATTGGATATGTTATTAAAATTTAAAATTTTTAATCTTAAGTTGTAAGTATTGAAATATTCATTTTGTTTACATATAATAATTAAAATAAATTTACAGTTTTCTCCTGAAGAAGTCACAAAATCGTGACGAAATATTGAGAAATAACAAATAGAGTTTTATTTCACACAGACCAATTGCTGAGACTACAAATAATATATATATATATATATATATATATATATATATATATATATATATATATATATATATATATTTATATATATATATTATATATACATATTAAATATTATATTATATTATATATTATATTATATATATATATATATATATATTATATTATAATTTATATATAAATATATATATATATATATATATATATATATATATATATATATATATATATTAAAGTTTTATTTTTAGGCTGATTGCCTTTCTCAAGTGATCTATTTTTGGCATGCGTTTACACTTTATAGTCTTTAATGAAATAGGTTGAGACGGGGAGAACTGTTTGTCTCAAGCTGGTCATTCAGAATTATATCTGTGTTTTTTAATTTGTTGATTTTCATAGATTCTAACAAAGATAGCTTAAGGCCTTTATTTTGAATGTGAAGAATTTTAAATTTGTCATTAAACGAATGATTATGATCTAGAAAGTGAAGTGGGTATGTAGAATCTGTTTTTCTATTATTGAAAGTCGTTTTATGTTCTGCTATTCGTTTATTAAAATTTCTACCCTTTAGTCCGATGTAAGTTTTTGGGCAGTCGCCACATTTAAATCTGTACACACCACTGTGTAAGTGTTTTTTTATTTGGCTTTTTGTTTTCAATATATTTGCTTTTGTTGTTCTTTGTTTTGATGATCCATACCTAATCAACTCTGGATATATTTTGCCTGGACCTGGAGATTTTCTTAATTTCGTTCCCTTATCTGCTTCTTTCACTTGTTTGATTGATATTTCTATTCTTCTTTCTACTTCCACTTGTTCATTTGTCTGTTTAAACCGTTCTCTTCTCTCTGTTAATGAGTTCTTAAAATGCTCTACATATGTGTTCTCTGGTATTCTATTTATTATGACTTTTTTTACTATGAGTTTTTTGTCGTTTTTATAGTTCTCCAAGCTTCAGAGCTCTTTCTCCCTCCTATGTGCTTGTCTAGGTATTTGCATTTTTGTTCCCATGCACTATTTTTCTTCTGAACCACTTCTCGTTTTTTACTTCTTTATTCAAGATTTTATATTGTTGTTTTGTTTGTTCATCTTCCTGTTGTAACACTTTTTGATATACTTCCTTCTTTCTTTTTATCTTTTCTTCCATTTCTTTATCCCACCAATACGATTTATCTACTCTCCGTACCTGTGGCCCTAAGGCTTCTAGCGCTGCGTCTTTCATGCAGTTTTTATATGTTCGTATTCATCCGTCGTTGATATTTGTGATTCCTGTAGTTTTTCTGTTTGTCTCCAGGAGTAAACTGTGTGCTCTCGTTATCTAGATTATCTAAGGTGTACGTAGTTGTTTCTATTTTTTCTCTGTGTTCTTTGTTAATGTCTATGTGGTTCCTATCTATGAATGGTGTATATATTTTTCCTATTATCAGGCAGTGGTCCGAGCCGCACTCTGCTCCTCTATTCACCTTTACGTCCTGTACTCTTAACTTATTTTGTTGTCTTGTTATGAAATAATCTATTATCGATTTTAGACCTCTTGTGTGCGGATACCAGGTATATTTATGTATGTTCTTGTGGGCAAAAAAACCATAAAAAATCTTTAACTGATATTGTTGGCATATATTTATGAGTCTTTCTCCTTGTACCTTGGTCAGTACTTGTGTAACTAACCGCAAAACTAGAGGTTGCATGTACATTGATTAAAAGTATAAAAATTATACGGCAAAACGCCGATGTAATTGGATCACCTATTCAAACAGCTTGACTGGGAGGAAAAAGGTCTAAACATTGATGGTGTACGTTTGAGTCATTTGAGGTTTGCGGATGACATATTATTATTTAGTACAGATATCAGGGAACTGGAGCAAATGTTGAAGGAATTAAACCAGCAGTCAAATAAAATAGGTCTCAAAATGAACCTTCAGAAAGCAAAAATAATGAGTAATTTACAAACTAATCTTGTTATTGACAACGTCAGTCTTGAAAATGTAGACCACTATATATATCTTGGACATACCATTAAAATCGGCAAAGAAAATCAAATAGCCGAAATAAAAAGACGCATACAACTGTCTTGGGGAGCTTTCGGCAAATTACGCTTTATTTTGAAGAATAAAGATATACCAATGTGTCTAAAACGTAGAGTTTATGACAAATGTATCTTGCCTGTAACTACATATGGACTGGAGACCATTGCCTTCACAAAGAAAACCTTAGAGCAGCTCAGTACAACCCAAAGAGCAATGGAGAGGGCCATGCTAGGGATTAGTTTGAGAGACAGGATTCGAAATAACGACATTCGTGAAAGAACAAAAATTACTGATGTCTCAGAACGTATTGCAAGGCTCAAGTGGCAATGGGTCGGACACGTTGCCCGAGATAATCCCGAAAAATGGACACAAAGATTAACAAACTGGAGACCAAGAGAGAACAGGCGAGGAGAAGGCAGACCGCAGAAGAGGTGGACAGACGATATCAAACAAGTCGCGGGCAAGCAGTGGATGAGAATTGCCAAAAGTAGAAATCTATGGAAGCAAATGGAAGAGGCCTATGTCCAGCAGTGGACGAACACAGGCTGAAGAAGAAGAAGAAGAAGAATTGGATCACCAACCGCAAACCATATGTCCCTACTTGACTCTCCTACGGGAGTTTGCCAACTAAATTAAGTTAATGAAATATACCACTTACAACAGAAGGATTTTGCTGCGATGTTTGAGTTTTAAATTGATTTTTCTTTTGAGTTTATTTTATGTAATGTCTTTATATCTTTACCTTTTAATGTTCTTATCTCGTTTTTCTTTCAGTCCCCATTTTGGACTCTACCATATAAACTTTACTGACCCAAATCGTAGAAGAACTCCGAAAAAATCAGCGAACTACTACAAACGTTTGATAAACACGAAACGTTTATTAAAAGCTGATAATAGTTCAACTTTTAACACAATGTCAGTATTTATGGCGACAGTATTATTATTTACGATTCTGTGGAATACATTTATGTAATTTAAATAATAAATTATTTATAAGTAAATTGGTAGTTTTTGTCAAAATTCCAACAGGACGTAAACTTATTCTAATTATATGAGAGCAAATAGTAAAGAAAAAATAATGCAACTATTCCGCCCAGTTCCGAAAACGCGATTTAAGTGAAAATTTGATATAATACTAGAAACAATTTTCACTTAAATCCGTTGAGTTTCGTTCCAACAACTAATAATATTTATTTAAGTACAATAATATTTTTGCTTAAGCTTAGGTCACCTACTATGACGACTTAAGCAAAAATTTTAACTTGGAGCATGTATTGAAATTCATCTTCTGTCACATATTGACACATAAGTGAGGTTAAATTTCTTCTGGTGATCGTCGATGTTAGGTTAATTCGAATTTGTCGAATATGTCACATATGTCACCGTATATTTCAATATAAAATTGGTTTAATTGATGATTTCTCAGGTTTATGCGGTGAACTTGGGGACTTAACACCTTAGACCAGGGGTCAGCAACCTGCGGCTCGCGAGCTGCATGCGGATCTTTGGATGTAAAGCTGCGGCTCTTTAGTTCCACACGCAAATATTATTTATTTTATCAAAAAAATATGTTTTAAAAAGCCTTCTGAATCGATTAACGATGATTAGACACCGATTCTCTCAATAACTTATAATCGCTTCCCACCGCACCCCTCCACCCATCATCTGAGGATGAGCGAACAGAGTTGTTCGCTATCAAATGCAACTCAGATGGCCTTCAGACTTGCCTCATTTGCCAAGAAAAACTTACAATAAAAGATCAAATTTAGAGAGATATTTCACTAAAAACATCTTCTGTTTGCTAGTAAATATCCATGTGCTTGAAAAGGACGGTCTTTGATCAATGTGTACACCCAGTTCTAACGTATGGAGCAGAAATATTGACCCTTACCAGAAAAGTAATCAATAAAATACAAGTGGCACAGAGAGCGATGGGGAGGTCAATGCTGAATATATCCCTCAGAGACAGAGTATCAAATACAATAATAAAAACTGATGTTACTGACGCAGTTCAAAGGATTACAACATTGAAATGGAACTAGGCGGGGCATGTTGCCAGATTAAAAGATGGAAGGTGGACTAAGAAAATTCTGGAATGTAGACCTAGACACGATGCTTATTGTAATCGAGGACGTCCTCTAACAAGGTCGTCAGATAACATCAAGCGCATTCAGCACAACTGGATTCAGGGTACTCAACATATAATGCATTGGAATTATTTACGGTTGGCCTATGTCCACCAGTGGACTCAAAACGGCTGATGATGATGAGTCCATATGTGGTATAATGCTGAGAGTCGTATCCAAGAGGACGCCATAAATATATCAAAAACCTTAGAATACATGCTGGTCACCCCCATTAACAACATTTTAGTTAGGCTTTATATGATATATGTATGCTTATACATAACCTTATATCTGTAATTGCAACAATAAAAGAATAAAACATTTTATCAAATAATAAAAAAATGTAACTATATAATCCGTCATCAAACAGTCTTTCTGGTTATGATCTTAGTAGTAAAATTAAAAATCCCTTTAGATCAATCCTGTTTATTTATTTAATTATATATTTAACATTAAGCTAACCATTTTATCTAATAATAGCATATAATAACATGTAGATATATGCGTAACCTATATATTAACTGCTTCAAACAATCCCCATTGGTTATGGTATACCAGCATTTGACGTGCGAAGACATAAAATGTGTAAAGTAGTTTATTGCCTAGTTTTATTAACTTATTTAAGGTAAGTCGTAATTAGATAAATCTCCTTATCTGAAAAAAATCTAAAAATTTAAAATAAAATCAATTAATCAACGTCAAAGAAAGTCTGAAAACGATTTTTGGACACAACACAGAGCTAACTGCAGATTAAAAACATTTTCTTGTTTATTATTATTAAACTATTAATCAACTTATTTTTCATAACTGTTGTTTAGTTTTAAAAGAACATTCTAAACTATCAAAGTTTTTTTTTTCTATTTTCTTTAAATGCTATTGTAGAATTATCCGACAATGGTTATCAATACAGCAAAGGCTTTATTTCAAGTATTTTCTTGCAGTACAATTACTAATTGCTTAATTTTAGGTGATTATTCATGTTTTCAATAAATGGTTTCGACTTTTCTTTTATTATTCTTTTTCTTCTGCTTTTTCCCATTATGAGTTCGCCTATTTCGTCCTCCACAGCACTCTATTCTCCCAGTCACCTTCTCGATATATTTCCTATGTACGTTTTCCATCTTATAGCAACTACATAGGTATTCGGTCTTAAATATATTTGTCTTAAGTTCCCAGAGCTCATATTAATTGTTTAATTTCCTTATCATATATTCCACGTCCTCCCTGTCTTGTACAAAGATCGTATTAACTTATCATCATACAGGTGACCATCTGCGAAAATTAGTAAATGTAATATATTATTCTTATTTAAAAAATTTCCTTTATAAAAGGTATATTAATATTTAACACTCTATGTAGTTAAGCTTACTATAATGATAAAAATCTCCTGTTTCAAAATTTTCAGTTGAAAGGTGTTCTTTAATTGATTGGAACATTGTTTGGGGTTATAATCTTACAAACAGTAAAGAATACTTAATTATTAATGCATTGGGAGATAAACCAAATATCTAGCTTTAAAGTGCATCTTTTAGTAGCTAAACGCATGTGAGCCAAATTGACAATATCGTCAAATTAAGATCCACAAGGAAACTAAAATCGTATAACTAGTTTCACTGTAGGTGTACTTTTATACCTATAATATTTTTACCTTTTGAATTTTAATTAAAAATTTTTGTGGTACATGGTATTCAGCCAACTATAGGGATTTACTTTCCTTATAGATAATAAATTCTCTTGTACTGGCATGCTCATTGTTTCGCATTTTCTATACCATCTTTTTAAAGCCTGATCTATATTCCCACACATATCGACAGATTGACAGACTGAAAATTACTGACATGACATTAAATGGAAAAGAAATCAAGGGAGTACATAAGTTGATAGACCTACATGTATACAGGGTCGATACCGATATGACTGCGGAAAATATGAGGGAACTTATGAAGACTACATTTCCCGAAGTAGAGGTAGAATCCGTAAAATCAAAGCATCCTGATATTTACAGTTCATTTAAAGTTACAATTTTTAATAACAATTTTAAAGAAGTTATGTCTCCTAAAATATGGCCATGTGGAGCTCACGTACAACGTTTTTTTTCACGTAACACCCAGAAAGCCGCAAGAGATGTAGATAAAAGTGTACGAATAGAATCAGCGGTAGTGCAAAAGAATATAGGAAACACCTGTTTTTGTGAAAGTGATATGATAAGTTCTGATAAACAAAAGTTGGTAGTAAATCCTGACCAAACCAGTTTGGTAAGCATTTTTCATATAAATACACAAAGTTTATTAAATAAAATTGATCAACTTAACATTTTTTTAAAAGATAAAACTTACAATATTTTGTGCTTTTCTGAACATTGGCTTAGAGAATCTGAATTAACAACAGTGATAATTGACAGATACTTTCTATTAACTTGTTACTGTAGAAAAAGTAGAGAACATGGGGGTGTTGCTATTTTCTGCGATGACAAAATATCTACACGTCCAGTTTCTTTGAATGATACATCTTGTGAATATGAAGGTGAATTTTGTGCTTTGGAAATTATAGATATAAAAACTATTCTAGTATCAGTGTATAGAACAGGTAACGCAGATTTCCAAATTTTCTTAGGCCTATTTGAAAAATTATTAATATTCTGTTCTAATAATTATGTTCAAACAATTATAATTGGGGATTTCAATATTGATTTCAAAGGCACTTCAAACGAATTAAAATATTTTTCCGATCTAATTTCTTCTTTTGGTTTAACTATGAGGATTGATGAATTTACAAGAATCACTGCTACATCAGCAAGTTGTTCAGATAATATTTTAACAAATATAAATAATGAAATAGTTGGGTGTGGTGTTGTAGACCCATGCCTTGCTGATCATTGTGCTCAATTCCTGAATTTAAAAATAAAATCTGATCAAATTGACAATGATAGGATATTCAGAAGACACATAACATGTAAAGGCACCCAAATGTTAAAACAATCACTAAAATCTGTGGATTGGTCGTTAATAAACAATTCAATAACAGCAACGGAATTAGCTGAGTTCATAATTGACACATATACTTCATCTAATTTAGATAACGACTTACGTCATTATCTACGTCAGAGATCGAAGTTGACATAGCTGCCAAAGTATAAAAAAATCCTGACTCCATTTTAAATCAAATAGGTCACATAATTATTGCAAAAGTATTACCATCTCTTTACAACGACTATTTAAATTCTAACGTGACATTTTTGAAATAAAACACACTAACTTTGTTCTAAAAAGAACAGATTTTATTAAATAGGTAAAAATATAAAACAAGAGGTATTCACTTTAAAATTCAAAATAATAAAGTACAAAAAGTGTCAACACCGCAACTGTCAAATAAGTGTTACCAATTTATGCCAAAATTTGACCTTCGTTCGATTACAGTTACAGTGTGTTCCGAACAAATGTTCTTGATAAAAACTCCTATAATGGATTTATACAAATTAAATGAAACATATTATTGTGTATTTCTTTAAGTTAACATTAATAGAAATTTTTAAATATTATTTCTACGCGTATATAATAAAATATGCCTAGTGGCTGTAATGCCAGTGTACTCGGTAAAGTGATTCTAAAAAGAACACACCTAAACCCTAAATATTTCGTGTTGGTATCATATGACGTCACAGGCTATGACGCCGATGACGTGCACCGTTATATAAATTAGATGAAGTGTATGTAAAATTAACTGAAGTTTGCTTTCCAGTAAAAAAGTCAAGAATTCATTTTGAGGCACCTGTTTCTTGGTTTGACGATGAACTAAGGAAAATGCGAGTAAACCTTTCGAAGATAAAAATTACTGCTAACCTTATTAGTGATTACACTCTGTATAATCAATTCAAAAAAAACTATCAATTAACAATATCAATAAAGAAAAAACTGGCATATGAGCAGTTTTTCTTAAAATCTGATAATATATCTCGAGATTATTGGAAAGTCATCAATTATCATAGGAATAAAACTCAACATAAAAAAGTAACTTCATGTAATATTTCATCAAACGAGTTTAATAATTACTTTACTTCGGTAGCGGGAAATATATTGAACTCGTTCGATGAGACAGATGAAAATGATGCCATGGATTTTTTGGAGGGAATATACTCCTCTTGCCACTCGTTGTTTTTAACACCTGTTAGTGATACTGAAGTTAGGAATACATTATACAGCTTGAAAAACTCAAAATGCACTGATTTTTACTTCTTAAACAAACAATTAGTGATAGAAACTCTGATATTATTATTGATAAACTGGTCATACTTTATAATCTTTGCCTTATCGAAGGAATCTTTCCCGATGTATTAAAAGTAACAAAAGTGTTACCGCTACTCAAAAAAGGATCTTCGGAAGAAATTGAAAATTATCGCCCTATTTCTATTATTCCCATTCTTGGTAAAATTTTTGAAAGTATTTTGAATAACCGTAATAGAGTACATAGAAAAGTACAAAATACTTCATTGTAATCAATATGGTTTCAGAAAAAAATGCAGCACTACTCAAGCAATTCAGGATATTTTAAGGGAAGTAGTTGATGGCCTAAAGAGAGGTCACTTCGTGTCTTTAACATTATGTGACTTATCTAAGGCTTTTGATTGTGTCTCACACACACTTTACTTTTAGACCAAATGTACAAATATGGCATAAGGGGAAATGCTCTTAATTTATTTCAATCGTATTTAATAAACAGAAAACAGGCCGTTTTTTTAAATAATAATTACTCCAATTTTTACAATGTTGAACATGGAGTTCCCCAAGGGTCAATTTAGGACCTACATTTTTTCTTCTATATCTCAACGATATATTTCATTATACCCACCCCTTAAGGTGTATATGTTTTGCAGATGATACAACCGTTATTAGTACCGACCAGAATCAATATAATTTAAATAACAAAATAGCAACCGATGTGCTTAAAATTAAAAACTGGTTTACACATAATAAACTAAAACTAAACGAGGATAAAAATCAAAATATAGTTTTCAGTTCAGATCGAAGACACATTTTTGGCTATAGCATCAAATTATTAGGGATTTTTATGGATGACAACTTAGATTGGGGCATCCATATAGACAACTTAAGTTGGTTTATTTGATACCTAAAAGTACCCTTAAAATGTGTTACTTTTCATTGTTTCATAGTCATATACAATATGGAATAGCTGTTTGGGGCAACTCTCGTCATGCCGACAGAATATTTAAATTACAAAAGAAGGTGGTGAGGATACTTGCTGGAGCGGATTTAAGGGATCATTGTAAACCATTATTTTTAAACATGGGTATTATGCCTCTACCTTCGCTTTATATGTATGCAACACTGTTGGAAATTCACGATAATAAAAATAAGTTTACTATAAACTCCCAATTACATGATCATCTAACAAGATCGAGGGATTTAATTAGGTCACAACGATTCAGACTATTAAAGAGCACAAAGAATTCAATTGATATTCACTTGTATAACTATCTGCCTAACGAAATAAAAATTCTGTCTTCACCACTGTTTAAAAATAGGATCAGAAAGCATTTTTTAACATATTGTTTTTACTCAAAGACAGAATACCTCAATACACCTTTGTAACGTGTACCCAGTTTGGTCA